CCGCCTTCCAACAACCACCACCGCCACACTCTCTTTGCCTCCCTACCCGATGCCCTCTTTCGACCCGCATACCAAATCCCGGATGCAAATTGGTACACTTAGTTCGACTCAATTCAATAAAATCCAACGAATGGGATATAATTATTTATAATTTGAAAGAAGGGCAGTGTATAGATATAGTGTTGTTTATAATTTTGCATTCAAAGATGGTGAAGAACAGTAAAAAGGGTTTGATTTTGTAGAGAGCAGTTAGTTATGATGAATATATTTGATTTTACGTTAATTAGCAATGGAAACTGCGGTTAATACAAACCCTAATGGGAAACAAATCTTCCTTTTTCCACCCCAATAAAGCTCGATTACCTATAACTATGTAAACAAAATTAAATAAATAATGAATTTGATTTGAATGCAATGCTAACACATAGGTAACCACATTCCGTGAGATAGACGAAGAAATAGAGAAGAAGAGAGGGGTAAATGGGACCATTTCCCAGAACGATCTTAAAGATAATATTATTTAATCCACCCTTTTATTTGCATTCCATTACCAGGAAACAATACAAAACAACTTTAAAATGGTTTGAATTATTAGTGCTTAATTTTGGATTACATATCGCAAAAATTATCTATGTGATTGATACTTCCACTCAAACCCTACCCATCAACCTCTATCAATTAATTTGCCTCATTTATTTATTTATTTATTTATTTATTATTTATTATTTATTATTTATTATTTATTTCTGCCCCCACATAGGTTTTATTATAATTCCTTTTATTTTATCTTCTTATATTTATTTTAAGAAAAAAGGGTTGAAACTCAACAACAAACTATTTAAATATTTACTTCCCAACAACAAAGTATTTTGGATTACGCATGCACAGAGTTTATCTTTGTAATTACTTCCCAACAATTTTAAATTTTCAAAAAAAAAAAAAAAATGTAATCATACCACATTAACTATGTTTATGGATTACAATAATAAGAGAAAACGAAAAATGAAAATTCAGTTAGTTTAACAAATGGAACTCTTAAAAATTAAATTAAAAATTATTAATTTCATGTGTATTTAATAATATTTTCAAGTAGACGGACCCTTACACGTTAGACAATGACAAAAAAACGACGTCGTGGCAGGACTGTTGGTAATTAATTGATAAAAACATGCGGTGAACGTGGATCGAACACGTGACCTTCAGATCTTCAGTCTGACGCTCTCCCAACTGAGCTATCCCCGCTTTGATGTCTAGATATCTCTTTAATTATATTCTTTCACTATTGCTTCTCTTTAGCTTTTTTTTGCATATAAAATTTTGAAAAAGATCCAATTTTGTTTATAAAAGGGGAGACTTTGTTTGGGAGGGTACGAGATCAGAACTGCTATCTCACTCTCATTCATATATACTCGTTTCATTTCACACATGCGTGCTTGAAGAACTATTTTGGGAGGCAGTTACACTGAATCGCTTCCTACCTCATTTTGTAGCGGTAAATGGACCAGCGGGAGCCACCGGATAATGGCGGCGGCGGCGGAGACGATGGGGCAACCACGAGGCTTCTGGGTAATATTGCTTTGGCTGTTGGGTTAACTTACCTTTCGGTTACAGGGCAGCTTGGCTGGGTTTTGGACACCGTTGTTTCCACTTGGGTATGTATTCTTTACGTATCGCACCACTTCTTTCTATTTGGAAAATGGGTGGAACCTGGTTCATTTGGTGCTCCTCGCTTCTAGTTTTACTGATTATTGGGACTAACCTGCTTGCATTCCAGAACTGATTGAAGATGATTTCCTTTGTCACCTGCTTGAAATTTGGTTTCATCTGTTAACATCTATGCCTGTTCATGTTCAACCCACTGTAAGCCTTTATATCTTCTTCCTGTTCAATCTTAAATCTTCAGCTCTGTTTTTATTTGCAGTGCCCTAACTGTGAAATGAATTTCAAATCTACAACTAAGTTGTTGTCTTGAAAGAACTGGTAAACCCCATCTTGATTACCCAAGCGTATTATGAGTCGATAAAGAAATGATTGAATACATATTAGGAGACGAAACCAAATGAGTATCCAAACATCATTAGAGACTAAAACACATATTTAGCCTCATTATTATTATGAAATAGAATTCAACAATCACTTCAAATGAATGAAAAATATATACAAGTAGATGTGTAGTTTAGGCAGCTTGTCTTTTTCGGATATCCTGAAGCTCAAAGGCAAAAGAAACACCTTTGTCCTTCAATTCTTTTACATCCCCAACCTTTGGCTGCACCCATGCTAGTTCCTTAATGGCCTTGTTTTCTTCAGCACTCCCTCCTTCTAAGAAAATTCCCATTACTTTCCCATCTTTGATCCAATAACACCCAAACTTGGGCTTTTTTGCTGCCGGATTTCTGTCTCCGAACATCACCGTTGTTTCTCCGACGTTGTCCCCGTAAAACTGCCACGACAGGTCGAAGACGCGTGAGTAGAAGTACGGTAGGTAGTCATATTCTTCAACAACCTTGCCCTTGCCCTTTCCCATGATGCCTTCCACAGCTTTCATGGCTGATTTTCTTGCATGATCGACATGTTCAACTCGTCTCATCTCATTGTACATCTTCATTGGGAAACAAGCGATGTCCCCAATCGCATACACGTCGTTCATGCTCGTTTTGAACAACCCATCTGTCTTGATCCCTCCTTTGTTCAACTCAAGCTGCCCTTGGAATAGCCCTGTCGCAGGTCTTGCTCCAATCCCAACTATAACAATGTCAGCTTCTAGCTCCCTCCCATTCTTCAGCTTCACCTTCTTTACCTCTTTGTTTGAATCGGATTCCAGGTTGATTACACTTGTTTCCTTTATGATTCTGATCCCTTTTGACGTGTAGTATCGCTCGTAAAATTCGGCGATCTCTTTCGTAAACAGGCGGGGCAGACACCAAGGATCAGGATACACCATTGTAACACTCAAATTATTGAGTCTTAAGGCTGCTCCAACTTCAAGTCCATTGTATCCACCTCCAACAACCACTGCTTTCCCGTTCTTTTTGGCTTTCATTGCTTCTACAATTTGATCGGCATCCTTGATATCTCTCAAGCACAAAACATTCTTGGCTTCGTCCCCTTTGACGCCAAAATCTCTGAGTTTTAGCCCTTTTGAACCTATGGCAATGATCAAAGTTCCAAACTTGAAATTCGTACCATCTTCACTTGTGAGAGTTTTTGACTCAAGAGCTGCTTTTACAATCTTTGTGTTAAGGATCAATTCTATTCCATTCTTCTCATACCAACTCCTATCCAATCTCTCCCCTCCACTCCCAACACACACATGGAACTGCGGCAGCCTTGCTGCATTCTTGGGCAACAGATATCCCTTGCTCAGCGCGGGACGTTCGTAAGGTGCCACCGACTCCTCCGAAATTATACCAACCTCCCCTGCCTTCACGCCCTGTTTAACAAACTCCCTTGCTGCATATCCTGCTGCCACTCCTCCTCCAAGTATCAAATACTTGAAGCTGTTGGGAAAGTAGTACTTCCCTTCTTCAAGTAGCTCTTTGGCCTCATTCATCTTCTCTCCAACAACCTTTCCATAAAGATAAACTGCAACTGATCTAACCTTCCATTTTCTGATTGATCTTTCGATGTCTTCGACTTCGTCGATCAATGCAAATACTTTCTCCTGCCATTCCTCCCTTTCTTCTGAACATGAACTCGAACATTCCTCGAGTTCTTCTAGTTGGATTTCTAGATCCCTTGATAACTCTTTTAGGACAACCAAGTTTTCTTCAAAGACTCTGTAATAGTTCAACTTTTGGTCAATTCTGTCCCACACTCCTGCCAATCTTGAACTAATGAACTGCCCCATTCCTCTGTCCCTACATCGGGCAACAGAAACACTTCAGCTAATAGATACAATTAGGAGTTTTGAATATGTTGTTATGTGAAAAACAGAAGAAGAAAGAAACAGAACCTGTGTTTGGATTAGATGATGAAAAAGAAGAACAACACCTGCACAAGAGAAAGGTAGAATAATATGATTATATTGAGAGAATTATATGGGAAGAATACGATGTTTCATGAAAGAAGATTGCCGCTTTTTATAAGACAATAACTGAAAGAACATTGTAGAATGAAGAAAGGTATCTTAATGAATTGTGAAGAAGGAAAGAATGTTGTTGACATGATGATGCCACCGTGTCTATATACCTTAATCCATTTAGGTATATCCTCTTCATTAAGAAACCAGCAACACTGGTCCTCTTAGTATCATTATTTTGTAAGATTTGATATAAATTATTTTAGTTCATGGGAACTTCTAACCTAACTTTTCTATGAGGGCACACGTCAAGTATCTCCCAAACACGCTCCTTTTGTTATAAAAATTAATGAATTAACAAAAATAAGTAGAAGAAAAGTTAATTGATTGTGTTTGAAACATAAATTAGATTCTTTTCCGTCTGAAAGTGGTTTGAATTTTAGCTACTCACCAAATCTTATGCTGTGAATCAATTTTGATGGGAGAATTAAACACTAAACGGGGAGAATTAAACACTAAACTGGAATAGTAATCAAAGGTTAGGGCTAGGTAGAAAATTGTATAAATTTCGAAATTTAATTAAACAAATTCACTGCATTAATTAATGTAGAGTTTAATATTGGAAGGGAAAGAAAAGAATAGGATAAGTAGCGGAGAATATGCACTTTCTTTTTGCTCACTCCTACAGATTAGGAAAGACGGACGGACGGGACGGCCTGTCGTGAGCGGTCGGATCCACCGCCCAATGGATTCCACCTTCCTTTTATAGACGCCCTCCTCCCAGATCAACGCTCTTATTTTTCCCATCAAATATAGCCGTTGGGAACTCCCCATTTAAAACATTTGTTAACCTTAAAATATAAAAATAAATAAAAAGAAACTAATATTTCAAATAAATTGATCTGATTATATATTGGAAGAATTTTGTCCATATATATTTTTTTTTCTTAAAAAAATAAAAGAAAGAGGAAAAAATGATTTGGGAAATTTGGCATTTGGCCGAACACGCCGGAACATTTAAGACGTAATAAAAATAGACTCATAAATATATATAAAGGCTGATTTGCATAAAGCCTTCACGAACACTCTCCCGCTCCCCAAACGAAAGGAAGCTCTGGCGCACCCACCGCCAAGAATCTCAGGTGAAAGCAAACCAATCGCTAAGCTAAGTTTCTAAACCTCTCACCACAACATCGCCATGCCGATTCTCTCCTCTAACTCCAATTACCAATGGATCCTCTCCCTCAAGATCTTCCTGATCTCCACTGGAGTTTTGTCCATGGCCGTCTTTCTCAAGTTCTCTGTTCCACTGGTGGCTGATTTCCTCGTCTCTGAAATCCCTTCCATCTGGACATGCTTCATCTCCTGGTTAAGACCTCCTTATCTCTACTTGGTTATTAATTGCATAATCATCAGTATTGTTGCCTCTTCTAAGCTCCAGCAGAAGCTGGAGGATGGGGAATCCGTGCTATCCGTTCCGGAGACGCTTTCTCCTCCGCCCCTCGCTAAGATTTCCTCTGAGTCTGACTATGTTGTTTGTGGCGGTACCGATATTTTGAATGGATACTGTTACAACAATGCGAATCAGAACGCCGTCACTAAGATTGCGGACCTTCACATTGACGAATCGAATGGCGTGTACGGACGGATGATGGTAGAACCTGGGGTTTCGGAGATGGAGAAGAAAGGGGAGAATGATTCTTTGATTCTGACAACAGCTGCTGATGAGACTGCTATGTCTAGTCCGATGACGAACGCTCTGCATAGGAAAGATTCCGTCGGACTTTTGTTTTCAAACGAGAAGGAGAAACCGCCGGTTTCTTCAAGAATCGGCCAACGGAAACTCGTGAAAGCCAGTCCTGAAGGTTCGAGCTCTATTTCTTTCTGTCTATCTCTGTTCTTGTGAATTTATGAACACGGATTCTGGTAGCTAGTCATGTGAATCAACTTTAGAGAATGTATAAATTCTAAGATGAGTTTCAGAGTATCGTGCCGGTAAAGATCGCCGGAGCCTATCGTTACACACAGCACAAAATCAGATGGAATTTTTTTTTTTTTTTGGGATAAATTTTTTTGTAAAAGCTGCCAAAAACAGCAAGCCTTTCGGTGGTAGGTCACAGAGCCGACTTTATTTCCCATGCCGTTAAAAGGCTCCAACGGAACTAAGTTTCCATCCCAAATACCGAAACTACCCTTGAAAGGGATTTTATTCTAAAATGGCAAAAGAAGTAATTATAATGAAGGTCATGGGGTTTTGTTTGGCGCGCAGGGAAGCCGTTGGGGGTTTCAAAACCGAAGAGGCAGGACACGCTGGAGAGCACGTGGAGGACAATAACGGAGGGGAGGTCAATGCCGTTAACGAGGCACTTGAGGAAGTCGGACACGTGGGAGTCACAGGGGCGAAGGGCCAACATGGCGGTGGATCCAGCGACGCCGCCTTCGAAGGTGATGACGAAGTCAGAGACGTTCAAGGACCGGAGCAACGTGGGGTCACCGAGTCCGTCGCCGGGGGGGTCGGGGAGGCTGAAGAGAGAACCGTCGCTGACCCAGGAGGAGTTGAACCGGCGAGTTGAGGCGTTCATAAAAAAGTTCAACGATGAGATGAGGTTGCAGAGGCAGGAATCGCTGAAGCAGTACCAGGAGATGGTGGGCAGTAGAGCCAACTAACTAGCTGTGTGTATATATTTTTTTTTTTACTCCAAATTGACCCATTTCCCTTTTTCCCAAATTTTAAATAGGCATATCAGATAAGGAATCAAGGATTAGGGTTTTTATTTTTTATTTTTTCAGTTTAGATTTCTTTTTGACACACCATATGAACTTGGTGTTCCTTCGGGGTGATGTTTATATTAAATATTTATATCTTCTTTTTTTTTCTTTTCCTTTCATTAAAAGTCTTGTGTTGGGAAGCTTTTGAATTTTTAAGTTTATAGATCTATATATTAAAAATTAAAATTTTAAGATTTACAGAAACTTCTAAAATTTATATCCAGTACAGGAATTGGTTTCTTAAAAATTTAAAATGGCCAGGAGAGAGAGTTTTAAATGAGAAATGGAAACGCAAAGCCTAGTCGGTAGCAGCTAAGCTATGGTGAGATTTAAGGCGGTGGAGGTTATCCGGATGAAAATAAAGAGAGTGAGGCCAAATAAAACACACAAAAATATGGAAAAGGATTAGATTTGAAGGAGAGACACATAGCCTTATCATCAATTATGTGAGTTATCTTAGTTTGCATTCATAATCTCTACATTTGAAGGTGTGAGATCTTACCTCCCAATGGAAAAATGGAGGAAAAATTCATTTGTGGATAAGTTTTAGTACGGCAAGACTAATGATGATATGTAACGGGCCAAAGTGGACAATATATGCTAGTGGTAGACTTGGATTGTTACAAATGATATCAAAGTTAGACAAAATGGACGCTAGCCCCCAAGATTGTGAAGTCCCACATCGATTAGAGAGGAACATCGAAACATTCTTTTAAGGTGTGGAAACTTCTCTCACACCTCAAAAGGGTGGATTGTGAGGTCCATAATAACCATAAGTAACACTAATATGTAACCGGCGAAAGCAATTTTAAAATTGAGAGGCTGGGACAATACATAACAGGCCAAAGCGACGTTTCTATGAGATCGATTGAGGATAATATTGAAGCTCTTTGTGCTAAAGGGGAGCACATCTTTGATGCAAAAGAGTAAATAGTCAACATCTTTCACATTTGTTTTACGGCAGAGGGCAGAGAGAAGGCCTTGAAATCCCTCAAGTCCAAAGGTAAATCCAAATCTTCAATAAGCATGGAAGGTATTCATAGATTTACCGAAGCTGGAGATAGACAGAGGATTAGTTTTTGGAAGAGCGTGTGGAGTGGGAACTCTCGCGTTTCCTGAAATTTACAACCTTTCTCTTAGAAAAGATACAGTAGCAGTAATGGAAAGAGTCATCTTTGATCGAGAACTAAAAGCTTGGATGGGTCTGGTTGGGCCTTTGGACTCCTATGGATCTTTCTTGAAGCTCGCTGGAATTAGGCCGGTTTTCAGACATGGATTTCTCAAGTGACTAGGACTCGGAATTTGCAGGGTTGACACACTTTGTGGGACGAAGTAAATAACATAAAAACCTATGAAGGGAACAGAAATAAATCAATTTTCTAAGTTAAAGGCTGTATCATTCATACAATGTTTTTGCAGAGTGTATCCTGGTAGTTTTCCCCTGATTTTTCAATATTTTCTCGGCGGATTGCTCGGTCTTGGATATGGCTTTTGTTTTCCTAACATTCTTTGATCGCTTCATTGGTCTTCCCCCCTTCTTCAACTTTCTATCCAACAAAGGGTACTGATCAGACATAGTGGGTGGTGCAAATAGGAAAAGGGCAATACCAAACAAATCTAGTAGAGCAGCCAACGTTAGACAATGTGATCTCATCAATCAAAATACAAATTCGTCAGAGACAACCAAACCCAAGAAAGCTTCTTGTTTGATAGCATTAAAAGATGCATCCTAATTTTCTCGGCCTCATCTCAAAATGAACAAACTTGGGATAATGGCTTAGTCATGTGAAAGGATGAAATCCAAATCTAACTCATCTCTGTGCACAACAATTCAACAAAGGCAATGAATCTAAAATCAGGAACTGCGAACACTTGAAATGAAACCAGAAACAATGATGAATTGTGGTTAAAAAATTAAGCACAATTTCCAGGTAGAAGCTTACAGATTGAGAGCGCCAGAAGCTGGTTTATGAACTGCAGACTCAGACACGTCCATCGCTTTAAATTCAAGGGGGAAATCACTTAGTTAAACTTGAAAACTACTCTATGAAAACACGGGAGATCTAAAACATCTTAAAGAGATCTAAAACATCTTAAAGGGGGGCAATGGACAAGAAACGACAAGTAAAAACATCTGGAAGATAAATTCTCATTCTTTCTGATACTGTTAAGTTCAATCCCTTTTCACATAACTGAAATGTACCTTGAGGGAGCTCGTGAACAGAATTTTGGGTTATGTCCATTGAAATAGCTCCACTTCCCTTCTTCTTATTCCTGTTCTTCGCCATCGCCGATAAATAAAGCCGCGAAGATTGACAATGAAAACCCTAAGATCAGAGGGAAGCAAGAAGCTAAAAGGAGTATGTTTGTACTTGAATTTTGATCTGGGACCCGAAAATACCATTTTACCCTTTCATAATTAAATTCGATTCGAATCCAAAAATTTGGAACCTTTCATAATTAAATACCATTTTTGTTGACATATTTACCAAAAACATTATGAGAAGTAAGAACTACATTTATATCAATTTTTGATATCAAAATCTAAATAAGAGTTAATCTTTTTTACTTCTATTCTTGATTATGGGTTTAAATATCAATATTGGCTCATCATATTTTCGACTTTTATGTGTAATTTTTTCTTTTGCATAAAGAGAAGAATCATAATTTTTGGTTTGGTATATATCAATATAAAATAAATTAAATTAAATCAAACCACGGTATTGTGATAACCGATTCGATCTAAATTAAATGATGTAAATAAGATTAAGAATAATCATTCCATAAATCCATTACTCAGCCTTCTAACTTCTAATAATAATCACATCCACAGCCTTCTGATCGACCAAACCCACCACACATCGCTTAATTATGAGCCAGGGGCAAACTTGGTGGCGTAAACCCAAGCATTGTTGGCCACAGGGTTATCGAGATGGTCCAGAAGGTTCTCGAGGGGGCCTTTCCCAGTCACGATGGCCTGGACAAAGAACCCGAACATGGAGAACATGGCCAGCCGCCCGTTCTTGATCTCCTTCACCTTCAGCTCGGCGAAGGTGACGGGGTCGTCGGCCAGTCCGAGTGGGTCGAAGTACTGACCCCCCGGGTACAGGTCGTTGCCTTCGCCCACGCCGTCCAGCCCGTTGATGCGGAACCCTTCAACCAGCCCCATTAGGACCACTTGGAAACCCAAAACGGCTAGGATGCTCTGGGCGTGCACCAGGTTGGGGTTCCCCAAGTAGTCGAGCCCCCCTTCTGAGAAGATCTGGGCTCCGGCCTTGAACCAGACTGGCTCCTTGAAGTCCACTTTCAACCATTTTTCTAGCACCTCTGGTGTTATGCACCCGAAGGCTCCCAACATCGCCCACCTCCCGTGGATTACCTGCAATTCCGTTCGACCATATGTAAATCAAAATTTGAATTCATCAAATTAATACCTTAATTAATTCTTAAGTAAGGATGGGGATGGGAATTACCTCAAGAGCTCTGTTCTTGGCGAAGGCCTCGGGATCGGCGGACAACCCAGCAGTGTCCCATCCATAATCGCCGGGGAACTCTCCGTTCAAGTAGGAGGGAGTCTGAGCGGAAAACGGCCCCAAGTACTTGACTCTGTCTGGTCCATACCACAGTTCATTTCCCTATTCAAAATTGAAAAAAAGAAGAAAACATCATCAATTTCAATACTCCATAAGACAAAAAGGAAGCAAAGATAGGGAGAGAGAAAAAAACGAAAGGGGTCGGGACCATGGTGTATTTTGGAGTTCCCATGGCGACGACATCTCTGAGGGAGTTATTGGAAGGGGCTCTGTTTTGGCCGAGAAAAGGGGTGGGGCGGAGGATGGCGGTGGAGGTGGCGGCCATCGACATCGTAGTTGAGGTGTGTGTTAGAGTTGTGGGAAAGGTGCGAGAAGAAGAGAGAAATGAAGTGGGGGAATATTATGAGAAAATGGGGAAGATGGGTGGTGAAGAATGGAAGACCCAGAAATTTTGTGGGGTAAACACACAGTGTTGTTAGCCAATCATGTTCCTTCTTTAGATTTTTATGCATCTCCAACTCATCTCTTTCTATCCACATTTTATCTTTTCCATTTTTCTTTTTTTTCTTAAATTTAAAAAACCAGCCCTTACCCTTACCTTTTCTTGAATGGGCCGGGCTCATATTACATCTGAAACTGGGGGTTTATGGGCCATCACAATTGAGACGACGCCGTATGGTTATGTCCATTAAAAGAGGAAAAAAAATGCAGTGCGGTGAGCGTGGATCGAACACGCGACCTTCAGATCTTCAGTCTGACGCTCTCCCAACTGAGCTATCCCCGCTTGTTGAGAATCCCTTGATTCTCATACTAAAATATATAATCTAAAAAAACAATATTTCATACTATTTATTACAAACTCCATTCCTTTTTTGTTCCATAATATTTGTTAAGATATAATTAAATCCTTAAATTTCTAAAATTAATTTAATTACTAAAAAACAACAAATTATGGCAAAAAAACTGATTATTTGTCCTCCACCAGTTTGAGTTTCCAAGGGTCAAAATGATTTGCGACTGCGCGCCACTTCCTGAAACACCTCCAAACCGTGCTACGGGAATTCAGATGAAATATGTACACCGTCCATTCCATCGACTCAATTCGAAAACTCCGCAAGTCAGACGGTCTGCAAACGTCCACAATGTAAATGGAGGTATTTTGAACGATGGGTTCAACGATGTAAATGGGTTCAACAATGGCCTGAAAATGGAGGTATTTTGAAGAAACTTTCAGAAGCCTCCAAACACAGAAATCGCTAATCTGGATTGCGAGTTTCTTTAACCCCACAAAAGTTTCAGCGTCCAAAAATGATGCCCATCAAGTCCTATGATCATTGGGCTTTTCTGGTATACTTTCTTGTTCTTGAATCATTTCATATTCTAGGATTCACTGGTTTTTTATTTTTTTGATTCTTATGGGAAAAAGGATATTTGATTGGTTAACTTCATACCCTCTTTCATATTTTGGTTTAATTTGTTAATATTATTTTTCGTTCTTTGTTTGCGTTCTTCCATTTTTCTTTTTTTTTTTTTGGATTTCTTGTGCAGAATTGATTGATTTTTCAATGTTTGATATCCTAGGTTTTCCATTTCGACCGCTGGTTTCTTGTGCAATTGATTATATTTGTTGTTTTCTGTTCATCAAATAATCCTGTCTATTCAAGTCACATTTCTCTTATTTTACTTGTGTTTGAGAATCAAGGGGGGAAGATAATGCCCAGTTATCCTGGAAATTGCTTCAGTTTTAACGATTCAGAATCTCAGATGAGAATCAGAATGCTTAGAGAGAGAAACGATGACCTTGCCTCATACATTTTCTACGTTTTTGTATTTGGGAATGATATTGATTTTAAAAATTAATCTTACAAAACCACGCATACTTGCACTTATTTCATAATGGGGCCGTATTTGTTCTTTTGGTGTGTAATTTCTGATTGAAACAGGAAGAAATTGAAGCACCCATGTGGGTTGATCTCACCTTAGAAGGGAAGTCCAAAAATCAGAACATGTGAGTATTTGATATAACTTGTGATGGTATATGTCAGATTAATATGCATTTCATGCCATTTTTTTCTTTTTAATTCCCCATATTCTCTTACTTTGATTGCAGTGATGATAAATGGTTCTGTACATACCACCCGTAAGCATCCTTGATTGTTTTTCCATTTGCAGAATAGATGTGAAACATTTCTTTTTCTTCATGATTTAGTTCTCTTTGTTTTCCTTAAAAACCAATGAACATGCCAGGGTCCACCAAACTTCCTCTCATGACCTGAAATCAGAATTTTCTCAGCTGTTTGAGGAAGCAAAGGCTTTAGATTTTGAATTATTGGTGTATTCTATTCCAAAAATTCTCACCTCTGTCTCAAGATCAAGAGGGAGAGATTTTGACAACAATAAATCGAAAGGTATCGGTCAGGATTTTGCAATGGACAAGCAAGTCATAGTTGAGGAGCTGAGTTCAGGATCAGCAGCCACTAAATGGAAGCCGAGGCCAAAGCCGAGCTTTACAGACTCAAAAAGAATCTTGAGTTCAGATCCAAGTTTGGTTTCTATTGCAACCTGTTTAACTGGAAATGCAATGCTAAATGTTTCAGCTACTGGTTCGAGTCCAGTGGGAAAGGAGCCAGCTGACAGCAGAACTGGTATCAGTCATCGACAACCGCATAAGCCAATGTTGGCAACAAGTCAAACATTGGGCCATTCTAGTAGACTTTTGTCAGATATGAGATGTCTCAGGAAAAGCTGTGTCATTAGTCAACAAGCATCAAGATTGGAGGATAATAGCCGTCAAAGGCAGTCAAGCGGCCATCACTCTTCTTTGAATAATTCAAGCGTATGCTCCTCTTTGAATCCTGGTTTTGGTGCCAAGAGTATCACCAACACTACTAGCTTTCCCAGGATGACTCAAGCAGCAATGAACAAAGACAAAGTTGCAAGCGTATGCTCAAGCACATTAATAATTCAAGTGGAAGATGCAAGTTCCAACACAAGGAGGGTCGGGAAACTCTATAATGATAAGCCAGTCCACCTCAAGCCTTCAAAACCAAAGGTAACTCCTGAATCAAACTTAAGGTTTTCTTGCAATCAATTTTCTTTCAGGGAGATGTGTTTAATCTTTTTTGTTTCTCATCAGATACTTCGTCCAAAAGTATCACTACTACAGAAAAAGGATGAGCGTAACACTTGTTTAAAGCCAAATAAACAGGATTTGGCTGGAACCGCTAGATGCAAAACCGTTGTAGCTGGAAAGTAGAATGCAATAGGGAGAATTGTTAGAGACTCTTCTACTTTTAGTATGGTCAAGGATCAGAAAAGAACACATCATACCGCTCCACAAAGACTTGGCGGATGAAGTGTAGTTGGCTCAAAGGTAAAAATATTGTAGGATTCAACTAGTCTTATCATTATTGATGTTAAAATATAGTTATTCATACTTGCATCTTTTTCTGGATTAAGTAGTAATTTGATGGTAAATGGCGCTCACATCTTGTTCCTTGAGATAACTCAACCAAATGTAATGTAACGGTCCAAGCTCACCGCTAACAGACATTGTCCTCTTTGAGCTTTCCCCTTCGAACATCCCCTCAAAAATTTTAAAACACGTCTGCTAGGGAGAGGTTTCCACACCCTTATAAAAAATGTTTCTTTCTCCTCCCTATCTGATGTGAGATTTCACAATCCACTCCATCGGGGCCATCGTCCTCGCTCGCACTCGTTCCCCTCTCGAATCAACGTGGGATCCCACATGTAAAATGTGTGATCAAACCAGTAAAAGCGATATGCTTGTGAATATCAGGGTTTTTGATGGAAGATGAAAGATCATGATGAAACAACTGAAAGTTTAAAGAGACTAGGACTGAAATTGAATATGAATTAAAGCCAAAACAACAATTTTGATTGATCAGATTTACATGGACAATGTATTGTGTAATAAAAATTGAGGCATATATCATTCTCCTGGTTATAGACATTTTACAAAAGTTTTATGCATATCATCATCACTGTCTGATAATCCTCCATGCATCAATTCTCATTCGATTCAACTTCTGGACAAAGTGTGGTCGCTGTATCTTTGAAGCTATTAGCGTCTTCATTTGATGATGACCCCCTTTTTTATACTTTTATGGCAGCTGCCTAAAAATTGGCATCCAAGTGAGGAAAAAATCTGGAAAATGGAAGCAAAAGGATGTACTTTCGTTGAGTGGTCTGATGAAGGAAGGAGACTGAACATATGCAACATCTTCTACGCATGAGAAAGGAGGCAACGGAATCTCTTTCCGTTCTTTTCCAGACTGCTGTAGTAAGTTCCACTCTCTTCTGTTTAACATGTTATTTGCATCCGTTGTTAATGGAGAATAAGAAAAAAATTGAGAAATTCTATGGCTGGAAACGAGTACTTTTCTATACTCGATCGGACCCAGAACATTGCTGCTCTCAGATCCCTCAAGGGAATAGCGAAAAGGATATATATTTTTCAACTCCGGTTTGGCAGAGAGGAAAATGAAGGAAAATTTTGAATATCCATGGACAAAAGTTAACCCAAACCAAACCTGGGGAATTGAAGAAACTTGCAAAAACTATTTGTACATCATTTCCTAGATCCTAATTTAAGGGTAATTTATTTTTGGTTTAGTATAACAACATTGCAACTTCCTTGAGCATCTAAAAATCTGCAACCCCCCATGTCCAACTCGATGATTTATGTTTCACCAACTTCTCTGCCAAATCAAAACTTTTTAAGGAAAATCTCTAGAATCTGATGGTACTGGGACCCAAACAGCTCAAGTCCATGACTTTCCTCATTTTTTCCTCGCGACACCTCTTCATTTGGTTGCCAATGGCTGAAGAAGAGGAAGCAGAGATCTTCTTGGCTTGGTAGTAAGATCTGAGCTTGGTCTTTCCGTGTTGTTGGAGAGATTTGATGACGTTGTTCCACCGGCAGACGCCTTGATCCTTCGAGGCCTCGACGGCGCCGATGCTCGCGGCCACGAACCACGCTCTGCAAGCTGCGCTCTTCGACATCTTTCTCTGATTGAATCGATGGAAGAAGAAGACGAGGGGATGAGTGGGGTTTAGAATTGTGTGGGTATAAATAAAGGGGCGAGGGGGATGAAACAGGGGAGGAGGATTTTAGGAGCCACGGTTTTCGGCGGAGAAAACCAGGTGCTTTGGAGGGGGATTCCTGAATTCTGTGAAAAAGACCACCGCGTGTAGCCCGCTGCCTTTTTCTTTTGTTTTCTGGCCTGACGCTTCTTTAGGTTTAATTTAAGGTAACTTGATAAATTTAAACAAACTTTCAAAAATATTAATTTTGGAGACAAGTTTGGTATTTAAAATGCTTTTCAACTTGTATATAACCATAATTTTTGTAAAGGAGTGTTTTAGGAGTAGGAGTAGTGCTTGTATTCA